CCTGTCCTGTGCCCACCAACCTGGGGGAAGAGGATGTGAGGAGGGGGCTGCACCACCCTTGCCCCCCCAGGCCACCTCGGCTCCTGGGTCAGGGCACCAAGCGACCCCCCGGCCGCCCGCTCCCTCGAGGATCCCCGGCAGGACGAGGCTGTTTGCAGGCTGCACTTAATATTTCGGACCGGGGTTGGGCTGGGGGCGAGAGTGGCTTCAGGAGGGTTGGCCATCCCCTGGGGTGGCAGTGACGAGGTGCTCCCGTTCTCAGCACCCAGCAGCACCCATTTGCATTTGGGGTGAGAAAATAAAAAGGGGCAGATTTGGGAGCTGGGGAGGGCTGGGTGCGCCGAGGCATACGGGGAGATGGTGGTGATTCGTGCGTCAGGGGAAAGTGTGAGGCTCGGGGGTCTCTGGCCACGGTGTTTGCACCGAGCCCGTGCCGGTACCCGGGATGCTGGCTGGGAAGGAGAGGACAAGGATGGCGCAGAGGTCAGGACAGCCCTTCCACCACATCTCCCCGGGGAGCGGCGCTCAGCGGCTGGGCTACCCCTTGTCTGTACTGCAGTGGAGTTTGAAAACCACTAGTACAAGAGCATTTTGCACTATTTCTCCGCTCTCTCCCCCCAACACTTCTCTTTTTCTCCCCCTTCCCCATGAAAACTTTCTTTTTGTTGTTGGGGTTTTTGTTGTTGTTGTTGTTGTTGACTTTTTTTTTCCCAAACGGAGCATTGTATATTTAAGGACCGACAGTTCACCTCGCTTCCAGACCGCTGTCCTGGCCCTGGCTAGGAGCCCTGCCTACTGTGCCCCCATCCCCAGCCCCCGCCACTGCCACCGGGACAGACGTCACCGCGCACGTTACCCACCGTTGTAACACAGTTGTTAAAACACACCAGATTCCGAGTTTCCTGCCTGGTTTTTATCTTTAAGCAATACTCACTACACATTTTACGGTAGCTTTTTATAGCTTTACATACATACGGTAGCTCTGTTGTTTCGTTTTGTTTTGTTTTTGTTGTTTTTTTTTTTTCCAGTAAACAAGAAATACTCATAATCTTACTGGTGGGAAAAAAAAAAGCAGTTTGTGAAAAACTGACAATGGAAGAAGAGCTTAATGCTCTGTTTAGCATTTTGTACTTAAAAAAATCTCACATTTTATTAAAAAGTGAAGATTGCTGTATACTATTTATTCAACTTATAATTTATGTTACTCTTTGATCTTTGTCTTTTCTCATGACAAAGCATTTATTTAATAAAGTTATGCATTCAGTTAGCTTGTGCCTGACCCTCGTGGAGCGCCTGTCTGCCAGGGCCTGCCAGCGAGCTGCTCCGGCCCTGAGCATCCCCCGGCTGGCCACGCTGTGCCCCTGGGGGGCTCAGCCAGCTCCATAGGGGTG